ATCTCCACTGACCCTGACCAGCCACTATAGATAAACACAGGGCTTCCAAGGATCAGACAACAGATTACTGAACAGCTGTAAAGTGGTGGGCAGTTTACAGACACTCTAACCTTTGAATAGATGACCCAACTGGATCAAAGTGTATCTTCCACTATGCTACTCAAAAGTACGTTTCTGTGTGGTGCGCTTTTCCAAATCTCATTAATCAAATCCAGATTTAAAGAAGAACAGCTATTTTCTAGTGTTTGTCATATTCCTTAAATGTCATTCCAGTTATTGCACCATTTCCAGATGAGAAGACCTTGGGCAACACTTTCACATATATTCGGTTTAAGGGCTTGTCTACATGAAAAGGCAAAGAGATACCCTTTTCTCTCCTTATAGACAAGCCTTGCAACAGAATACATGTGTCGCAAGGACTTCTTAATTTTAACCATTAATATCATAATGAGAGAGCTTAACATTTTTAAATAGAGGCTCAGGAGTCGTCTTGGCTGTGTATATACAAGTCGCCCTTTTGTAGAGAATGTGAAAATGACACCTATGGGAGTTGTTTTGTTAGGGTACCAATTTCATTTTTTGTGCGTTAACTTATAATTAACTTTTATGGACAATCAGGTTTTGGGGACGGTTTGGATTTGCTACACTTCTTAAGCTAGCATATAACTTTGATTTCTCCCTCCCTCCCCCCCTTACTATCTGTAGCACTTTGCTCAACCTTCCTATGCATGTTTTTTCAAGTTCCAGCTTCTGTTCTGATTTTTATTAGGTAAACAGTATATTCTCAACTTGGTCAACAGGCTAGACTAGTTCAGAAAAAAGTATTAAATGGAGGGGCAAGCAAGGGAGCAAAAGGCAGAGAAAGTGATACCTCTCTTACACATTTGTTGTCAATGTATTTTGACCATGTAAAGCGTTCCTTAAAAACTATCTATGGTGTCCTTCCTCTGCAATTTCAGTAGATTCACCTGTGGGTTAACCTGGCTGTTCAGTTTTGCTGTGAAACAGTCCTCTGTTTTAAATTTACCTTTTCTATTACTGCAGAAAATCTTACAATATGCCCAATATGCAGCATATGAGAGAACACAGCAAACACAGGAATAATTTTCTTAGTGCATAACTATGATGACATAACTTTGTTCTGTTTCTGCTGGGTGAAAATAATAGTGCACTTACACAGACTTATGGAAAGTCAGCATCACTTTAAACTGGAATGGAGTTATGTCAGCTATGCTATAACAGTGCCAGAGTCTGAGTCCTCTGCCTGAGGGCCAAACTAGACATGATATTTGCCTTAACCCTCCTCCCCAGTTTGACCAGTGCTTTGAATAAAGTAGTTTGGTTTAATGACGTTCACTGAATTAGTTCAAAAAGCTCTGAAGGAACTCAAGAGTTCACATCCTTAACTCTGTAGTTCCTAGAAGTGAGGAAAGAATGGGAATTTTCATTTCTGTTGCCACAGTGTGACTGAAGTCATCTGTCTGCAGCTGCTTGCAAGGAAAGGGACAGTTAAACTCTAATCTCACATCCACTGAGCAAAGCGCTCACTGTCCTGGTTCTCACTGGTGGAAACTGTACTGGACCCTTGTCTCTGTTTTTGTCAAAGGCTTGGATGCATAGATAACTTCAGTACATAAGTCAGGTTACAAGGTTCATCAATCAACAGGTGCAGCAGAGGTTAAAGTACATGGCTAAACACAAGCTAAGATGATGTCTCAACATTTGACATGGCCCACATCTCTCCTTTCAAAGAGCAGAAGGCCACAGTCATTTGCCTGTTTGTTGTCCAGAGCCACAGGACTAGACATATACAATAGTAGGAAGAACTGCAAACAAAAATGCGTATATTATAAGATATTCTCACCAAAAAAATCCAGAGGAATTTTTATTTAATTGCAAACTGATATGGAAATGTTGAGAACTCAAGAATGGAAAAATGAATTAATTAAGCTTTTTGGAAATAAGTACTGTTCTATACATTCATTGTGTCTGTAATATTGCCATATTATTACTCTCAATGTTGTAATCTACCTTGAAAACATGATGTTCTGTAATAATAAAGTTTCCTTAAAAATTAAAGAAGATTGGAAAAACGATAAACTCAGAGACACCAAAATGGGCATATTCTACCATCCCTATTCTCCAACCATTTTCTGTCTCTGTCTACTAAGAGTCTTGTAATTATCAAACCATCAGAAAAACTGACTAGCCCTGAGGGGGGCAGGGCGGGTCGAGACGGTACTTCTTAGTTTGTTGTTTCTGTTTTAACTACAAAAGCCATTTGTCTCATCTTTCCATGTTCTTTGGTTTGAAGAGCACTTGTTATCTGCGTAAACATGTTGAAACGTACAACAGTTCAGCTCTGTGAGGTGGATTACTGTGTTTCTACTTCCTGGACCTTGCAATTCCCTAAGGCAAGCACAACAAGAGGACGCTCAAGGTGGGCATCAATAAAACACAGAGTGAGTTTGGCTTTACTAGGCTTGCTCAAAATTACATGCATTGTGGGTGGGTGTGAGCTCAAACCAAGGAGCTGTAAACAAAACGCTTTGAAATCTGTGCACGTAACCTCACACATAAAAAGGTTACAGAAATGCAAACAAAGACCACAAAAGGGCTTGCTCCCATTTGAAGAAACCCCATGCCAACTCTGTGACCAAATGCCACTAACTTGATCCCATAACATTTTAGGGATTTAAAGGTCACCGTGAGCGCATTACATTGGATATGAAAACAAATTGGCAACTGATCATAAGAAAAATGGTTTTGCTTTAGAAAAAACTAAGTTGGAAACGGAGTTGTTGGACTCTAAAGTTCAGAATCTGTCTAAAATGTATAATTTATTGTTGGAATAGCATACAAAGGATGAACAAGTTACATCTGTGATGATAGATTGGGCAAGAGATGTGGGACACAACATAATGTTTGAAGACTGGGAAAGGTTGTGGAGGAAAGGGGTCAAGTTCACTGCATGTACGGTGTTAAAGGAAAATATTATGAAAATGATGTCTAGATGGTACTTAACCCCTGTAAAATTAGCAAAGATATATCATAATAGTGATAATCTATGCTGGAAATGTAAAGAAAAAGAGATGGTACTTTTATCATATGTGGTGGACCTGCCCCAAGGTGAAAGACTTCTGGGAGAAGATTTATAATGAATTGGAAAAAAATGTTGAAATATACATTTATTAAGAAACCAGAGGCCTTTCTTCTGGGAATAACAGGTTTGGAATTACCCAAGAAAGATGTTAAATTGTTTTTGTATGCCACAACTGCAGCTAGAATTTTGTTAGCTAAGAATTAGCTCCCAACAGTGGAGGAATGGCAGATGAAGATGATGGACTTTTCGGAGCTAGCCGACCTGACTGGAAGAGTCCACGACCAGAAGGAGGAGGAGTACCAGGACGATTGGATGAAATTCAAAGACTATTTAGTTAAATATGCTAAGATAACTTAATTGGAAAAACTTGCAAATACCAGATAGGCTTAGGATTTAAATATGTGACATTAGAGAATAAAATGTTTAAAGTTAAAATGAAAAGGAAGAAAGATGTTAAGTGACTAAGTTAATTTTATGAGAAAATTGGTTTTGGAAAACTGTTACAATGATATACAATGAAACTCAGCCAGGGGGATTTGAGGAAGTCATTTAACAATGACTAAGATTGTATTAAGTACAGTTAATATCTATGTTTGTTTGTTTAAAATTTTGGAAAATCAATAATTTTTTTTGAAAAAACAACAAATTGGCAACTGATCTCCCTGCAACCTCTGCAAACCCTTAAAATCTGCTCCAGTAAGCCCCCCCCCAACCATCCAGTAAGCCCCCCAACAACCATCTGGAGCAAATGGGGCAGAAAGCATGACAAGAATACACCAAATGTTGGTGCTGTATGGCTTCTGTTTACTAACTTGCACTAAACAGAAACTGTGATTTACTGAAATGAACGAAGGCTGCCAAGAATAGTGGTGTGATACACTGCATCCATTATTTCATTTTCTTCCTATATACATAAAAAATGGAAGGCTGCCCTTATGCATCCCACATTGGAAGATTTGTACTGCCTCACCACAGTCCTGGGTTTGCAGAGAGGAGCAAAAGAGAAGGCAGGCTGCACAACTGCCATGACCATGGCATGGGAGTGAGAAGAGGGAAGTACACAAAGGGGGGGGGGTAGTTGGTTTTAAACAACAGCAGTTTGTGTAAAGCAGGGATGGGGCGCGGGACACAGAGTAAAAACATTTTTTTTAAAAAAAGCAGCAGTTTTACCACCCTCGCAGACACATTTGGTAAAGACACAAGAGAGGGCCTTCTAGGTAGCTGCTCCCAGACTGTGGAGCTCCCTTCTTGCAGAAGGCTAGACTCCCTCTTTGCTTTCCTGTTGCCAGCAGGCAAAGGGGGCGGGGTTTTGTTTTGCAGCAGGGTCTTTTAATAGTGAGTATTGTTGTATATTTTCTTGTGCTTTCAAGTGGTTTTAAATTGCATGGATTCAGTGCTGTTTTTAATATAGCAATTTACTTGTTTCTTTAAAAATACAACTGATTGGTGTGTTTTTAACCTGCACCTGTTTTTAATGCATGTTGTGACCCGGGGTACTGTGCTGGGAGAAAGCTAGGACATTAAATAAACAAACTTCCTTTGCAATAGGTGCGTGCCTGGTAGCTGCCAAGTAACCTTTGGTACTCCGAATGCTCCGGGTGGTGACGGCGGCGGCTCCACTTTTGTTTTGATACAGCGCACCAATAACACACCAACATTAGGGACGCATTGCAGAACCACTAATAAATCGGAATGATATGCGGATGGTCCAGTACAGATCTGCCAGTAATTCGCCGGTCTTGAGGGACTATCAGGTGGGGCCAGAGCAGCCAACTCCTAGGGGCTGAGGTCCCTTCGGCCAGCCCCCTAAAATATTCGTGGGGGCTGGGCTCCCCCCCCCCCAAAAGCTGATGAGCATTGCCATTCAAATGATGTGCGCGTGCTGTGTCCTGTGATCGATTTTGCGGGGCGGGGCTTACTTGCCCCCCCCCCCCAATATTTTATTCAAGTTGGCACTCCTGGGTGGGGCCATTCTTAGCCTTTTCTGGAGGCGAAGGAGTCTGAACCTGGGCGCTACACCCCTTCCCACACTCTCGTTTTCCATCTAAAGAGCGGGAGCCGTGCAAAGTCTCCAGAGGCGGTGCGGAGCCGTCTCTCCTTCCCGCGGGGAAGCTGCCTTCCACCCCCAGCGCCCAACTCTTGCAGCCGCCCAGGCTGCCCTGCTGCTGCTGCTGCTGCTGCCGCCCCCGCGTTTTCGCCTCGCAGTTTGCCGAAGGCCGGAAGTGACGTGCGGGCCTGGCGAATGAGCACACCTTGAGTCACCTGGGGAAAGGAGACGGCGCCGCCAGATGGGAGGGCGCTCAGTCCGCGAAGGGAGGCCGTGCAGTTCAGGTGTGTCTCGCGCGGGGGGGCGAGTCGTCCGGCTGTCACACTGGGGGAAGAATCCGGGGGCCGCATGGAGAAGGAGGGCCGCTCGGCGTGGCCCATGGGGCTGCTGAAAACCTTCGACGCCAGCGAGTTCGGCAGCTGGGAGAAGATCGGCTCGGGAGGCTTCGGGCAGGTTTACAAAGTCCGCCACGTCCACTGGAAGACCTGGCTCGCCATCAAGTGCTCGCCCAGCCTGCATGTGGATGAGAAGTAAGGGCCCGTCGGAGCGCCGGGCTGGGCGTCGGGGAGGAGGAGGAGGGAGCGCCGGGCGCCCGGTTGGACTTCCCCGACCCAGGCTCGCTTGGCAGCGGAGCAGCCTGAACCCCTCAGCTGGGTTCAGGCTGCTCGTGGGTGGGGGTGTCTTGGCAACTAGCAGTGGCGCGATTTTATATTTTGGCGTTGTTTTGCAAGTGCAGTCCAGAAGACGCGCGACGGGCGCCTTGGCGAAGCCTTCGAAGGGCTGCCCGGGCTGCGTTGTGACCTTTGGAGCGGTTCCCTTGGTTTCCAGAGGTGGACGGTCCCGTTGCCCTCGAGACTGCCGCGCGGAGTCGTGCAGGTGCCGAGCCACCAGGGACCGAGAGAGCCCGATCTGCTGGGCTTACTTCGGAGGAGGCACGCTCAGGGTGGCGCTGCGAGTCGCAGACGGCAAACCTGCTTGCACCCGCACCCCGCCCCTTGGAAACTTCCCACGCTGAGCCCAGCTGCAGTTCTGGGCTGCTGCTGGCTAGGAAGGGATTCCCCGTTTGGTCAAAAGCACGTTTTAGACAGGTCTGCTGCTGGGTTTGAGAACTTAATATACAGTGGCGTTTTGTTTTGAAAATCCGCTTTGGTTGAGATGTTCGCATTTTCGTTTCCTGTTGCATAGTTCGGGGTCGGGGCAGCGCGGTGCGTGCGCGTAAGAATGTGCTCGTAATTTGCAGTTTCAAAGACGGCGCTGCTTTCCTACGCGAGGCTTCGCCTTATGCAAGGAATTTGTCCTGATTGTGTCATCGACTTCTTAAGGAAGTCTGGTAGTTACAAAGCCTATCTTTTGTGCTGCTCGGATGGCATAGAGAGGAAGCTAGGACGAAAAAAACCAAACTCGTTTTATTTCCCTCCTTCGGCTGGTTTGCTTCGAACAGCCTAGGAAAGGTGCAGAGTTAATTTCAGTTTGCTGAGCCGCCTGGAGGAAGGAAAGGGATAGGAAAAAGAGAGATAGGAAAAGACTGGTGTGCATTAAAAATCCCATGTGTGCTTTCCAACTAAGACCTACTCCGAGTAGACCCATTGAAGTCAGTGTTTCTACTCGGAGGGCGATTTGGCAGGCTGCCACGCCATCGTTCCACTTAAAGAGCCTTTTGGCGAAACACTTCGGCTCCATGAAAGCGAAGCAGAAACACTTTGAAAGCGGCACCGTCCGCTTCCCACGGTCCTGTCCCGTCCCAGCATCTGCATGTCCGGTTCGCTCGCTGCCTCCGGTTGTTTGCTCCTCGCTTGTGAAAGGATTATTTTCATTATACGCCGCCGCGCATGTAATACGTTTGCTTACAAAGGGCGCTTTTGCACCGCGAGGCCAATTTGCCTGCAGATTTGCGGTAATGGCCCCTTTGTAATGCACTCGCTTAATGAAAGGGAGGCTGCATTTATAGCAAAACGCGTTGGCAACAGTACGGGACGCTGGGAGCGATCGGCTTGTCGCTGCCTGCAAAGGTGTGCTTCGTTCGGTGGAAGGGACTGGCTGTTCTGCAAGGAGGGTGGCGTGCAACGGAAGCGGTGGAGGAGAAGGGAGAGGTTTTCTGGGCCTTGGTTTGGCTTGACATTGTGTCGGTGGGCTTGGGAAAGGCTGATCTTGAAGGAAAGGTTAGCAACAACTGGTTGGACCCAGACTAAAAAGTTTTGTTGCACTTGGACCCCACAGAAATGAGTGTGAAAGTTACTCATGGTGACTAGTAACTTCCCATTAATTTCAGTGGAACTAACTTGCGGTATTGCAAGGCCAGTGCTCCTCATGCGTGCAAGTTTTTTGCATGGACCACAGGACATTGTTGGCAGAAAAATTGCCTTTTTAAAAAATAGAGAGATTTACCATTTCTGGGGGAAATTGGATATTTATTTATTAAATGTATTTCTCACCCTTCTTCCCAAAGGATTAAACAAAAATCTTGTTGCCAGTTGACTGCTTGCAAGATCTAAACAACCCATTTGCAAATGAAGTCTTAATCCAGCCTAAATTTCTTGCTGAAGGGGTCACTTGCTGCTTCACACATGAGACTAGGTCCTAAATGTCTTCGAAAGCAAATCCTATTGGGGTTTGTTTTGCTTCCATGTAATGTTGGGCTGCCAGATAGCCTTGTGTTGCATCGTTTTATCCCAGAAATCACCAGCAAAAGTCCTGAGCTGCCATTTAGAATTTGTCAATTCTGGAAATTAAAAGTATAGCTTTATTCATATCTCCTCAGAAGCAAGTTGTCACTGTGCTTGGTGGACTTCCTCAGTGGTAACCATAGTTCTGTGGGACAGCACACTTGTTTTGCATAGAGAAGGTCCCAGGTTGTTTCAGTCCCTGGCACCTTAGGATCAGGTAGCAAGGTGATGGGAAGATGTGGGAAGAACCCTGGAGACCTGATGATAGTTAGAGCCAGGTGGACAAATAATCTGACCTGGTATAAGGCTTCAGTGTAATACCCTGAGCTGTTTTTAGCAACAGATCACAAATATTTGGCTTCTGATCTGAGAACCTGTTTTCTTTTTAATTTTGGGATTCTACCCCCAAGCATAGCTCATTCTCTTGGGGCAACTTTGTAGGCATCAAAAATATGAAACCGATCGCTATCTTCACATTTATTTGCAGTACTAAAGTCTGCTGAACAAAACTTTAACAAACCTGTAAAAGTCATCCCTCATTTGATGTATAGTTGATGGATGTATATATTGCTTTCGCTCTACATGAACTCTAAATTACACTGCAGGTTCCCCGCAGTTTGCAACATCTCACAGGTGGATGAATGATCAGAGTGATGTGTATAGAGTGCCCTAAAGGTGTTATACAGTAGTCATATTTTTATATTTATCCTAATTTTCAGAGCTTCTGTAGTTCATGGAAAAACAAACATCAGAGAGAAATAGTAAACACTCTAGAGTGCATACAGCATTGAAATTGTATTGCAGGACCAACTTGTCTGCAAACGCTGGTTTCAAAAATCTCTCACCGCTTTTGAAAACTTGGGCTTATATACGTGAATATGTCAATTTAGCTACATCACTCAGACATCACTTTAAACTGCTACAATGGAATTTGATTGCTAAGTTGTCAGTGCTTATTGCAAAATGTTCCACGCACTTGGTGCTCACTATTCAGTCATGATTTTTGAGCAATACCTAGACTAAAGTATTTGACCCACTACTACTGGAGGTCAGGGAAAAGCACTTTTGGTATAAGACCTAGCCACTGTACATTTAAATGCTTTTCATATGTTAAAAATATTGATTCTGACACAACACTGCTAACAGCAAAGTATTGAAAAAGGAACCACTGGGGCGATCTAGCCCAGTTCTCTGTCTGCCCATCTATTCACCTGTTCCCACAGGTCAAGCTGTAGAACTCATACCATAGTGTGCAACAAGTTGAAAGACCATAGCTTCAAATGCCAAGCCCTTTATTTTAGGGAAGGGCACATTCTCCCATCCTGATTTAGAGAAAAAAATTATTTGATCTCAAGTGCAATGATCTCTGTTGGCAGAAACCATATCCTGGCCTAAGACAAGTAGCTCCACAGAATCATGGGGTTCCTTGAGAGTATCCATAAGACAAATTGCCCAAAATCCAGTTGCCCACTATTATTGATAATTCATTGCAGTGTGTTGCCAGGTTGTACATAACAGATCTTGCTGCTGCCCGGCTTATCCTTGGAGTGTTCCTGAAAGCACATCCCTGATTCTCTGCTGTTTCGCAAGAGGCCCACAGCAGGTAGATGAATGTGGAAAGTTTGAACACTGCTGTGTAAGTCACTCACACTGGGTATACAAGTTCACAGGAAAAGGAAGGCCAGGACAAAAAATAATTTGAGAGCTGTGTGTACGTAGACAGACAGGGAAACTTTCCTGATCCTTCTGTGCCCCAACTGGCAATCTGGAATACAAAGCCGTTTGTCAACTCATTCATCTCTACTTGGAATCGAGTAGATTCCAACAACTCTTCCATGAGACTACTGCAAAAAGTCATGCTTTTAAAAGTAGAAATGTCTGTAAGCAAAAACCATCTCATGGAATCCGACCCATAAGCGTGAGCACTTTCTAGCCATTGAAGAGCTGTGCTATTCACTGGCATATGTAATAAGCGTCTGTTAATAATGGGGGTTGTATGAGTGGAATAGTCTCCCTCAGTAGATGGTGGACTCTCATTCTTTGGAGGTTTTTAAGCAGAGGTTGGGTGGCCATCTGTCATGGTTGCTTTAGTTGAGATTCCTGCATTGCAGGGGGTTGGACTAGATGACCCTTGTGGACCCTTCCAACTCTATGATGGACTTCTAGTGGGAGGTAACAACAGGAGTGTTCTACCAGTGTTAGTTTTGTTGAAGACTTAGTTCGGCTGCTTCTATTTCGATGGAGGCGAAAATGTTTAAAAATACCATTCCTGAAATATCTCTGGGAAAAGTGCAAGCCCTAAGTGGGCATAGAGATATATAAAATGGGCATCTTTTTGTGACGCAAGAAATGTGCATGCTCTCAAATAGGCTGTAGCTCTCCACCATTATTTTTAATTTTTTCCTCTTCCTGAATCTCTTCTTAATATTTCTGTATATATTTCTGGACTTGCAGTGTTCTTCTCTGTGGAGCAAATCATCTGGCCCCTAAATTCCTCTGTGTGTGTGTCTGTGTTCGTGTTCCAGTGGTGAAGATTGCTAGCTGAAGGATTTGAGAGTCCTGTTCCTAGTTGTTTGGAGATGGTCCATATTGGGAACCTCTGGCCGAGGGACCAAATGTCAAGCCCTAGGCCAAACCCTCTTGTTAGGACCAACCCTTCATTGACCTTGCTCTGCACCCTTCTTGGGTGCTTCTGTCTGTTCAAGGAATATGTTCTTGAACTGTGATAATGTTTCTTGCTTGCCTGGATGACGAAATTGTGATGGTGTGTGTATGTGTATATATACTGTTGGCAGGCTGGAATGTAGCCTACTATACAAAGGTGAGTGCCACATCCTTTAGCTTGGCCACTTCTGCCCCAGCCACACCAAGTACTGGCACGTGGCCCCTGGAAAATTCATCAGAAAGGACTGTGGCCCTCAAGCCAAGAAGGTTTCCCCTTCCAGTCTATAGTGAAAAAGCACATTATGTTCTCTCATTATGTAAAAAAAAAAGCGTTAGAAAGTAATGTGAAGGAAAGTTCTGGCTAACTTGTCCTTTTGAATCATGACTCCTGTTGCAATAGTGCCAGTACCCGTTTGCCCGTACAGCTTAGAGGGACAATGAATATTTTTGTTTCTAAAAAATGCCTCGCTGTAGGAAGTAAGCTGATCTCAGATTTGGAAAGAACAGTGTGTGATTCAGTAATGAATAAACCATGACGCTCAAAACTTTATCTAGGTAAGTGAAGGATTAGAGGATTCTTCCCCACCCCCCTGCCTAGCTGGGCAGGACTGCAATACTTTGCAAAAAGAATTAGAAGCTGGTTACCTTACTGCCTCAAGGGCTGCTTGTTAAAGGCTACTTTGAAGTGGGGTCTTGGATGGCTCTGGCCACGATCACCTTGCTCCTTCATAACTGTATGCAATAATGGTGACTAAATATAGTTGCTAAACCTGTTGTGTATAACTAATGACCTTTGCCATACTTCAAGCAGAAAGAAGCGAAGGACACCTCCAACCGGGTGTCTGCGGTGCTTCTTGCCTACAGTGTACTGGGTGGGCCTACTGTAGTGTTGATGATGGTAATGATGGGGTTTAACCACTTTGGGCAGGCTACTGGTAAGAACTTCATGCTCACTGAGTTAAATGTCATGCACTCTTGGCTGGGAGCAGTTCCCAGCACATTACAGGCCCTACCTCAATCAGGGCATGTGCTGGCTTGTGCTTCTAAGCTTTGCCCGTTGCAGCTCCAGAGGTCAAAGTAGGCAGCAGGCACCAAAGCAGGAAGTGCTTTGGGTGCTTTCTTTTGAAGTGCAAACAAATGAAATGGCATGCAAGCAGGATCTTCTCTTTAGGCCCATTGTGATATTAGAAAAACACAAAGGCCTATGCCTGGGGAGGGGAGCGGAGAAAGGTTGGGTTATAATGGAGGGATAGTTTCCTGATGGCCTATCTGTGTCATGGTATCAAACCCTTTATATTGAGGTATAACCATGTTGCAACTAGATTAATTTGTATGGTTGATAATTCTTCTTTAAGTGAGTCTTTGGATACTGTTCTTTTCTTTTCTTTTCTTTTCTTTGTGCAACTTGTCATGGATTTACAACTGGGGGTTCCACTTAATGTGATTTGATTTCCATGGATGATGTTTGTGTGTCAGTGTCTACAGGTCTACAGGTTCTCACCCTTTCTTTGTGTGGGTCTTCTTTTCATCTCTCCGAAGGTCACTGCCTAAGAATGGAGGAGAGAGACATAATTGTTGACTCTTGTTTGTGTGTGTTTGTTATGAACTAGAGATTGCTTCTCTATAGTAGAGAGAGTTTTTCATACAGTAAACGCCACATAGCATGACTAATGATGAATGGCATCTCAGACAGATGAGTGTTGAGGCGGACAGGGTGTAGAGCAGAGCTGTATCTGAAATCCTCTTTGAACCCAGAAGGCAGCTTGCTAGTTCAGAACAAAACAAGATCAGACCAAAGCCTCATCTAGTCCACCATCTTGTTCTCATGGTGACCAACCAAGTGAGCTTCCTTGGAGGGAGGAGATGTAGCCCAGTAGTGGGTAAGATCACAGTATGTGCATGTTGTGGCTACCGTTCTAACTTCATAAGTGTTCAGAAGTATCTCTGTATTTGTGTTTGGCCTATGCTGAAATTTATCATGACTTTCTCACCAAGGTCACTATTGGAATATTGTTGCCATCCCCAAACTATTTAGGCTGTGAGAGTTGTAGGCTGGAACTGGGAGCAAGACTACTTTTGGGGCAGTCTGTTTTTTTTGGGGGGGGGGTCTGAAAGAAAGCTAAAGCTATTATGCTTGAAATAAGGGCTTCAATTTTAATTTTCCCTGGGTGCAATTACTTTTAAATAAGCAATTCCCCCTCTTAAAAATAGATTCCTCAGAATTCTTAACATTGGAGAATGACTCCCATCCACAAAGTCTAAGACAATAAGATCACAGCATATAAACATCTGTGTGCTGTGTTTTTTTATATCACATGAGCCAGGTTGCCATGGGCAACTAAGGCACAACTTTATTGCTTTTTAAAGCTAGATAATATCTAGGCAATTACAGTTCTGCATGGGACCTTTGAGAATTGGACACAGCACAGCAAAGTTGCTGCCTACTCCTTTCCACCAGCTGCTCTGCGTTATTATGTCACACCAGCTAGGTCCACTCAGAGCACTGCACTGGGGAGGGTGGTAAAATAGCAGCAGCAGCAGCAGCATTGGGAAAGGGAGTGCTAAGATTTATCAAGGATTTCCCCTTGACATCATGTTGTAAAATTTAACTTGGTTAGTATCAGGAATGTGGCTTGCTGCAAATTTGGGTAGGAGCTGGGGATCTCTGGAAACGGCTCTTCTTTGAGAACAGACTGATGATGATGGTCAATCAGCTGCAAAGCACTTAGCCCTGCAAGCCTTCACAATGTAACAGGAAGCCACTTGGTTCCTTGTAAAAAGAAAAAAGAAAAGCAAAAGCAAAATTAAGCCCTAAAAGCTTTTATGGTGGGTTTTCTTTTTTAATGGCAGTAAATAGAATGAAACTTTTTCATTATGTGGCAAAATGCCTCAGTTAAATGCAAGTTGGCAGAGAAGTTATTTTCAAAAATTTCTCATTATTTCCATTTCTCCTTGTGCTTCTTTGTTCAATAAGTCAATCCCTATTCTCTGTCTTTGCTAAGATTGCTTCTCTGGAGCCCTTTTACCAATCCTCTTGCTGCGGCCCTGCCGATATTGTGGGCTCCCCAACTCCCATCAGCCCCAGCCAGCATGGCCAGGGGTAGGGATGATGGGAGCTGCTGTCCCACAACATCTGATGGCTGCCCAGCTCCTCATCCCATGTATGTATATATGGTAGTATTTCTCCCCCTTTCCCCTTTGATCCAATTGCCTTTTGAGTCATAGTCACGGCAGAGTACAATCCACAAACTCAAATCTATTTTTGCTTTTATGCTTAATCATGGCTTAGATGTCACTATGACAGTCATGCGGTATGTAAATAAAGTCTTTCACTTTCCATTTGCTGTGATGACTGAGTCTCAAATATTGAACGGGGTACTTTGTTTTTCTTCTTTTGAATTAAAAAGGAAACCAGGTTGTATCACTATTTGTTGCAAGTCATCATCTGTAACTTGAAGAAACAGATCCAAATAGATTTTCATATAAATATCCAGATCTTATAAGATTGTGTCCTGACACCTATGGCCTTGCTGCTGGAACTGATACAGAACCAATACACAAGTATTTTTAATTGAAATTCTATCCTTAAGTAGAGGAGTATCCGTAATCATGGTTGCACACCTTGGTAGGATAAGACTGAAGGCTGAATCAGTACTCCTATCTGGCACTGCAGTTGCAAAGCCAAGAGGAGCTCAGCTTGGAGCCCACTTGAAGAAGAGGCGGAGAGTTATCTTTATGCCACAGTTCTCTTCTCCAAAGATACACACTGATGTTAGAAGGATAATGCAGACAGAAAAAAGTATTATAAGCAGGAAACTGAAATGTGTTTCATGTGCCTGAAAGTGAATGAGACACGAAGAGGAACAAACACCAAAGTATTTTACTTGAGAGGCAAATAAGGAAGGGAATACAGCTGAACGACAGACACTTCTCATTCAGTTATACCTAATAGAGAAAAGCATATTGTCTCCTCCTGTTCAAAATGTGTTTTCAAAACAATGAAATTAGGGAAGCCTTTGGGCAGTTTTTAGTACTTTAGAATTTGTGCCTCTCAGTACTTCAGGATATGCACAGGAGTCGTGTAAAACCCCCTCAAAACTAGCAGCAATTGCTAGGAGACAAGCAGAGTTGCTTGTCCCAAATGCAGATAACATATTCTTGCAGGTTGGGCTTGGGTCCTGTATTGGAATGTGCACAGGTATATAGATAAAGTTAATCTTTTTTTGCTGGAAAATTAAATAAGTGTAATTATTATTTTTGATAGAGATCTCCAGGTTGAGTATTTTAATGTCCTGATCATTTGCATATATATATGCAGTATATATTTTACTGACTACTGTGGGATCATTATCTCCTCTCTTTGGAGTAATAATGAAGCATTTAACTGGCTTCTCTCAGGAAGTACATGCTAGAAACGTGTACTTTTAAAGCAGTGTTGCTTGCCTAGCAAGTTTTTATAATTGCAATTTTTAGAGTACAATCCTTTGGGTGTTATAATAAAGGAGATATATATTCGAACAATGCAAAGGGAACAATAAAACTTTCTAAGAGGGAACGGGAGGGATGCAGAAGAAGTGAGGTGACGTACCTTAGGGGTTCCTTTAAAAGCTTTTCTGATTGATTACACATATTTAATGGATCACCTGATCTGCTGCCATGGATTTTGTCCGGCAGGTAGGCTGTGCACGTACTGAACCTTTAAAGCACATTCAAAATACATCCTTTCCCACAAATAATTCTGGGCTAGTTTACCTCTCACAGAGTTAGTTTCCAACAACCCTTAACAATCTACATTGCCCAGAATTCTTTGAGGGAGAGAATGTGTTTTGAACATGCTTTAAAGCTAAAGTGTGTACACAGCTGTAGTCTTGCTGCTGATTGGGGGAAATCAAGTGGAAAAAAATACTATCTATCCCCCATACAAAGTATGCGCAGGCTGATTTGGAGTGTGACTGTTTACAGCTACTTATGCATTAGAAAATTAGATCCATATTGAAGACTTCTTTCTTTTTCAATGGTAGGAGTTTTAAATTTGGAAAATAAATAACATTCCGTGAATATTGGCCCTGATGGAATTTGCTAGTCATTCAGCATTCTGGATAGTGAGAAAAGTGTTAATTCAGGAGAAATACTTTTAGCCGCATGGGCTGCTCCGTTAACTGCTTAATGTTAGTCTGAAAAACTAAGGGGAAATTAGAATTATGGAATTGGAAAGAAGCCATTTCACATTTTCAAAACCACCTTCACTCAGTGTGCAGACATTGGGATTGTGCATGCTGACCTCCTCAGATTCAGTGGGATATCTGAAAAAGGTTTCTGCACATTGATAGCTATATGCATATGGATCTTCAATGTGCTCAGTATCTTGTAGATAAAGCTGGACGAGTGCAAAGGTCCCTTCCAGATGTTTTGCTGAATGTGCAGAGGTGGTGGGGGGACATTATGAGGGCATCTGAAGAGAGCTAGATGTCTGTGTTACTCTAGACATTATCTCCTTGGGTGATAGGTTAAAGGTAAAGGGACCCCTGACCATCAGGTCCAGTCGTGGACAACTCTGGGGTTACGGCTCTCATCTTGCTTTATTGGCCAAGGGTGCTGCCGTACAGCTTCCGGGTCATTTGGCCAGCATGACTAAGCCACTTCTGGTGAACCAGAGCAGTGTACGGAAATGCCGTTTACCTTCCCTCTGGAGCAGTACCTATTTACAGTGGTGCCCCGCAAGACGAATGCCTCGCAAGACTGAAAAACCCGCTAGACGAAAGGGTTTTCCGTTTTTCGATGCGCTTCGCAAGACGAATTTCCCTATGGGCTTGCTTCACAAGACGAAAACGTCTTGTGAGTCTTGCGATTTTTTTCGTCCCCCCCCCCTTTTTCTAAGCCGCTAAGCCACTAATAGCCTTTTAGCCGCTAAGCCGCTAAGCCTTTAATAGCTGCTAAACCGCTAATAGCGCTAAGCCGCTAATAGGGTTGCTTCGCAAGACGAAAAAACCGCTAGACGAAGAGACTCGCGGAACGGATTATTTTCGTCTTGCGAGGCACCACTGTATCTACTTGCATTTTGATGTGCTTTTGAACTGCTAGGTTGGCAGGAGCAGGGACCGAGCAATGGGAGCTCACCCCGTCGCGGGGATTCGAACCACCAAACTTCTGATCAGCAAGCCCTAGCCTCTGTGGTTTAACTCACAGTGCCACCCGCGTCCATTTTGGGTGATAGGTTAGGATTAGATATATTTCGGAATTTTAAGCCCATTGATTTTTAGTGTGTCTACTCTTACCACTTCGTTAGATACCTCCATTGTGTTAAGACTGAGATGAAAAGGTACAAAAGTGAGATGAACATGTTTGTCCTTTATTATATTTAATCAAGGAGAATAGATACATATCACTGGGGATAATGGAACAGGACCTTGCCAATAAAAGCTTTTGACAAGCTGTGCCCTGTGCTTAGAACTTGAGCAATGTCAACCAAGTGAGTGCAGGTATCTTTCATCGTTGTTCAATTATGCACATGTGGTGTCCTCTGACAGTTTAGTAGTCCTCAATGTGAAGAAAAAATTGAGAATATTTGATAGCTAATATTCTGAAGCCCTCTTCATGCACTCGGTGTGAATATGTGTGGTATAAAATTTGGAATGGAGGAAAAGCACACACACAGGTCCTGCCACCAACATCTCTGTGTATGCTGGTTCCTCTTTCAGACTTTCCTGCATTGAGATGGAACATCTAAAGTGGAACAGAAGTGTGTTCTCGTGAATCCCCTTAGATTCCTCTTTTTGACCGGGACCCCTATTAAGCAGGATTCCTGATCACAAGGATGATTCTAAGCAAGTTCAGCTTAATGTGCTTAGGACCTCCCTTCAGACCTTTCCCTCTCAATGCAGTAAAAACCAAAATGAGGATATTTCAGGAGGGGCTTGGGTGCATTGCCTCCCCCCCTTTTTTGCCCACACACATTCAGGTGAACTCTTGAATAGGGCTACTGTACCTATCCAATTTAGAATGCTAGTTCATTCCCCTTTCTGTTTACTTGGCAAACAAGGCATAAAGCAGGGAAGAACTTTCTGAAACAAACCTCTGTTCATACAGAAGTTGGAGGCCACTGGCTTTCTCTTGTCCACAGCAGAAATCTCCCTTTTCAAGTTCCTCTCCCATACAGAGCTTCCAAGATTTTTAGCAATGCAGTCCTCAAGGCAAATGTCATTTTATATGGAAATTATTGGTAAACTTTACCTTCCTTAGTTTCTATCAAGTTCCTTCCCGCTTCTTTCCCCACCACTGGACTCAGAACTTCAGTTCCTGGGCTTTCCCCAGCCAAAAGAGTGTCAGTGGCTGGAGATGAGTATGTAGTATTCACCACATGTCCTTTCCATGCTCACCGTTGAATCCCAGGGTCAGTCCATGGGATCTTCTGCCCCTGCTGCGATTCCCCTTTGCTGTAGCTACCTGCTTACTCCCTCATTTGGAGATGGCAAGTAAAGAAGCAGCTTGAGCACCAAGGATCAGGAATGTCCATATGCCTTCTGTCTCTCAGAGATGGTCCAGATTGGGCCCAGAGGAGGAGTGTCAAGTAGGTGGGCAACAGAAAGTAGCAGGAGAACTGCGGGTGGGGGCTTGAGAGCCTCTTTCCCAAGGGGCTCCCTAAAACCAGGAACCAGCTTTCATTTAACATTGTGTGTAAATTTGCCTTTGACTTGGTGGTAGCTTTTATTTTGCCTGTTTGGTCTACAACCGCCCACCCACTTCCACAAATTCCACCTCAGTATTCGGAGATCTTCTGCAGTTTGTATCCCACACTAGCTGGAGCTCGGTGAGTTATGTACGCTTAGGGGCAAGAGTTGGCTGTTTCTCACTCACTGACACTCCCTTCCTCCTTGTCATGTCAAAGCACCCTGGTGTTTCTCTTCAAAAGTAATTATCTTAAAAGATAGGTGCCTCAGGGCAGTAATAGCAGCCACACCGGATGCTGGAAAGAGACCCCACCATCTGTTCCCACACCCAGTCTGTAGTATTGAGGTGGGGAGGAGAACTTAAGAAGGGACTCCAAGTCTCCTCTCCAAGGAGACTCCAACGCAACTCTCTAGTTTGAACCTTCTTGATGTGACTCATTGGTCCTGAAAGGCAACATTACTGCACCAGATTCTTTCTTCTAGATATGGACTTGCTAGCTAATGACTGTATATTTAATTTGACTGGCTACCTAGCACTGATTTCACTTATTTTTCACCGTTCTCAAATGAAACTCTTTTCTAGGGCATCAGTATAAGTATCTCCTTCTGTCCCTATTTTAGGTAGGACTAGCACTTTCCCCTTGTTATTATATGTATTGATGCCTTCACCAATTGGGTGCCTTCCAGCTGATGTGAGTTGTAGTCAAAAGCAGCTGGAGGGCACCCATTTGTTGAAGTCTGATGTACTGAATTCTTGAACAATACTGGATTGTTTCTGCCACATACAGTCGTTTTGGCTGACACAGTGGCATCTGATGAATTAGGAGGACTTGGCCTCATGACATCTTTGGGGGCATTTAGCAAATAATATAGAAAACTTGAAAATACTAGGAGTCTTATGGACGCTTTTGTATTTAGGTCACACATGAGTCTATTTTTATGTTGCTTTCAAGTAAGGTAAATGCAGTGACTTGAACAGACTTCTCATCTTGCTCTGTGTAGCCATGTTCAAATTACATCAGCTTCATTGTGTTTCCCATCAACAAAGACCATGATTGGATTCTGTTTATCATAGTGTTCTTAATCCTGGGCTGGATTCAATTTAGCTGCTGTTTGGGTGGGAAGCAACATCTCATACAACTGAGCTCTTCCCTCCCTCCCTCCTCTGCACGCCCCACCTCTTGAGGGTTGGGGAAAGCCCTAGAACATGTCTGGGAGCACATGGTGGGAGGAGAGAGTCCTGTTGTGTGAGTGGACCTCATTTCTTGCATACACACATCCTGTACTTTGTGCTACATTGAATTCTACTCTCTCCCTTAGTAGAAAGCCTGGTCCTAAACTGTGGAATAAAATTTCTTAAAATGGGAGCACTAGCAGGCAATAGAAAGAGCTTGTCTCTAACAGGGCCTGCAAACACCACAATTTTTTTGTTGCAGTCCTTTACAAACTGTAAATTACAGCTTTGCTTGAGTTTTTTCCCCTGTTGATCCTTCTATGCAGTCATGAGGTCTCAAAATAATTTCAAAACTATGGAATAGGGAGATTTGTATTGCTAGTCTAAAGTTTTGGGGCTGTTAGCTAGGCATCTGAATCTGGGAGTTTGCTCAGCGTAACTCTGTTTAGCCATGGAAACTGCTAGATGACTTTGGGACAAGTTATGCATACTGTCTTCTGCTAACCTACCCCATAGTTTACAGTGAGAATAAAATAGTATAACCTCCGTGTATGCCATCCTGTGCTTCTTGGAAAAGGTTGGAATGAAAATCTGGATAATAAGTCTTAGATACTTGAGAGATCAAGAAGAATCTTTCTAGAGCAGACCAAAGAGACATCCTGTTCTCACAGTGCTTAATCACATGCCAATCTAAAATCTAGGGAGTAGAAGCCTAGGAGAGTTCACTTCAGATCTGTGTTCTAACTTTTTCATCATAGTGCAAATAAAATTCAATACCATGATGAATATTTTAAGTGCTTCACAAAGGTTGTAATAAGAGAAGTTTTATGATACTCTTATCTATTTAACCTTTTTGTGCTGCCTGGACAAAAGGATGATTATTTATGAGCCAAAATTATGTGCATATTCTAGTTCTCCGTAACTACCTAAATGAGATTAGTAACTGTAAGACCATCCTGCAGCTTTCATATGAAACCCATTTACAAATGATTTTGACTTGATAAAATGTACACAACTTAGAAATTCCAGAGAAGTTAAATTTCAGCTCTGTAAAACACAGCAGCTGAGTTGCATATCGTGGTAAGCCATGCATAATGGGGTGCTGTGAACAGGTGAATCACTCCTCCTTTGCTCTACCCCACTAGCCAGTGGGAGGAACAAACCACAATCCTTGGCTTAGCATTATAACCAAACCCATAGATCACAACTGGTAAGCAAGAACAAACCTTGGCTTCAGATCATGATTTGTTTGGACAACAACAAACCATGATCTCCAGTTCAGACATAATGCTGTGCCAAAGATTGTGAATACATTAATGGATACATAAAAATGTATGCACTAAATATCAGTAACATGGAAGAATTTCTCATACAAAATTTGAAGCTAATAAATGGTTGAAATGCTATTGATGAATATAAACTAAAGTCCTGTACTTTGCCCTTTTTACATAGGGAGCGTATGGAACTGTTGGAAGAAGCCAAGAAGATGGAAATGGCAAAATTTCGCTACATCCTTCCAGTCTATGGCATCTGTAAAGAACCTGTGGGCTTGGTCATGGAGTACATGGAGACAGGATCACTGGAGAAGCTCCTGGCTGCAGAACCGCTGCCCTGGGACCTGCGCTTCCGAATCATCCATGAAACAGCTGTGGGCATGAACTTCCTTCATTGCATGTCCCCACCTCTGCTTCACCTGGATCTTAAACCAGCAAACATACTGCTTGATGGCCATTATCATGTCAAGGTATGTCCTAGGCCATTGCTATTTGACCCACAATTTTTTTGCGATTATCGTCATGATGAGACTGAAGGAGAGGTTTGTCTCTGGGCCTTTCAATGCAAATTCTTCTTTGTTGCGCATGATGTGAAACTTGGTTGTGAGTTCAGTGTCACATGTTATCCTTGCTTTATAGCAGGAGTGGGGAACCTGTGGCTTTCTAGATGTTGTTGGACTACAACTCGCATCCGTACAAGCCAGCATGGCCAGAGGTGATGCAAGTTGTTGTTCACCAACTTCTGAAGGGCCAAAGGTTACCAACCCCTGCTTTAAAAGTTTGTCACTGTTTGCTAAACACAGTTACAGCTTTTCCCTTGTTGTGTTTTTAAAAAGAGTACCGGGGAAGGAAAAAAGCAAGACATTGCAAAGGTGTTTTTTATTTTTTAATCAACTTTCAGGAAATGCTATTGTGGTAGTGAGTAAATAGTGATCGTACAGACCGATCCCAACTCATGCCTGTAAGCAATCTTATGTTTATAATTGAAAGCTTTTTGTGTAAGAGGTTGTATAATAATGAGGGGAAATAAACAGGAAAACACATTGGGTTGATACCCATGTTTTTCTCCGCATAGATGGATAGTTGCAGTGTAGTATTACAAACCAACATCTTTCCTATATATAAAATACTTTCATGGAATATTTTAATGCAGGTGTGCACAAATAATCCTGAATTGTGGCATATAACAAACATCGTGTAGCTTATAACAAAGAGAGGTTAATTTGCCAAACGAGCTGCCCTGTTTAATTAACCATGGCTGTAAACAAGGAGCCTTGGTTCACGTGTAAAACTAAGTCAGTGTTCTTAGAAATAGAAAGGAAATTCTGCAGAAGCCCTTCTCCTTGCCATAAGAGCCTGATTACTTGTTCAGACTTGCTGAGGCTCATCTGCAGTCCACTAAAACAAGGATTACTATTAGAGATGAAAATGGATTTGTTTCTTTTTAAACTAATTAATTGCGAAAATTTTGTTCCTGTGTAATGTGCTTAGTATCTTGCTACTTGTAGTGTGAATGAGAACAGACAGGTCTTTGTAAAAATAGCCTATGTTTGGTTTTGGAACATACTGATATGGTTCAGGAGGGAGTTGGTGTGTTCAGTGCTTGAAACAGCTCATTCATGTAGTGGGGAGCCATGGTTTCCCATTAATATCTGAACTGCACCCTAGATTTTTAGATAGCTGCACAGCATTAAAGTTACAGTGAGGCCTGGATTCCTTGGGGGCTGAGGAGTTTAGAGCTTGTTTCTGTTCCCAGTTCAAAACTCCTTAATTTTCTAAAAATTCATCTTCTCTACCTTTGATGCTCCCCCAAAAAACATAATGGTATGCTACACTGCCAGAATAGAGGAAATTGCTTTGGTTACAGATATTATATATAAACATTATATTCAGTTATATTTATATATAAATATTCAATTATGACTACATACTTATAATTGCTGGTTCCATGCAATAGATGTTTTAAGTCCTATGCATTTTTATGAAAGTAGCAGAATATCTTTCTTTACTTAGATGTAAAAACAACAGAGCATCTTTTGGCACCTTAAGGACTAATAAATTAAGGTGCCACACGGCTCTGTTGCACAAAACAAAACAAAAACCCACCAGACTACACGCCCTGGAAATGGACTTAAATGTGTTTCTGATTTTATTTGTGAGGTTTGTGTTTAGAATTTCTCATCCCAAAAACTGATTCCAGAGGGTTGGGGGAAACTCCATAGCATTTGGGGAATTTTTTTTAGAAGGGAACATAAATAATGCCCTTCTCCAAAAGAAAGTGCTCATAAGCAGAAGTTGCCTTTTGAATCCAAGTTCAAAGCTCTCCAGTCACATAATATCTGACAACTAAACACACAGAAGTCATAGCAGCAGGGCTTACTTTTTAATCCAGCTTTATTACTCGATAGGCTATCCTTGGCTTAGAGTGCGGTGCAATAAAACTCCTTACCAATGACTTTTCTGTTCATTCCCCACTTGGCATCTTCCATAGTTGTGCTCTATAACCTTTGAAGCTGCTCTATGTTAGATTGCGATCCAAGTTGTTGGAGTACTTCTAGTTGTGTGTTTGTTTGTTTAGCTTCTTTTTATAGTGCCTTTTATGTGCATGGCACTATATAAAGAACAGATGTCATCAGTCCCTGCTCCAAAATGGGCCTTTCAGTCTAATGTAGAATCAGGCAAGCAGCTGAGGAAGGGGGGAAATGGAGGCATGGGGAAGAATGGTTTATTATTCCAGTGGCGCATCCTTTAATTTAGTTACATTGAGGCATAGCGACCATGGGGATGAGGGAGTGGCAAGTACAGAGGCAGGAGGTGAAAGGAAGCAGGAGGCAGTGAGTAGGACTGAGATTGGGAGACACGGAGGGGGCAGGTGTCATAATGTTCAAGGGTGTCTCCAGGGGTCTGAATACTCAGGGCACACACAGGACTCTTCAGAGCCTCTGGTAGTTGCTGGAGTTCTTGGGGGTGGAAGGAGCCATAGAGCAACCACCTGGGCCCACCCTAGCAATCCTGATTCGCTTTTCTGAAAACAGTTCTTGTAAGGGGTTATAACATTCCAAAATAGAGCTCCAGCCAAGACTATTTAACAGGCAAGAGCAGCTGAACGAGGAGTTCAGGTTAGCTGAAAATAGGTGTCCAAGCTGTGTTTTGAATGGAAATATGAGTGAGGAGACATAGCTTGCTGTGTCTCTCTTCCAGTTGCTTTTGTCTCTCTTCCATGGGGTTCAAAGAATGTGTGTTGCAAGTTAGTCACTCCCTGTAGCCGTTCACACATATATCTGCAATAATTTTAATAGCCTGAGATCACATTATTTGTAAAAGGGATTTGATACTTGGTTTCATTTCTCCCTTTGCCAAATGTTATTACCTGGTTGTGTGGGAGGCTACTGCAGAATTCCCATAGAACTTTGATGTTTGCACCCAAAGTTGTACAAAGGGTGAAAGCAAGGCCCTCAAAATTCGGCTAATCTGTGCATGCCTATCCAAACTGGTATCCAGATTACTGGATGGAATACAAAATTCTAAGTACTACATTGCTGCATTTGGCTGTACTGTCTGCCACCCATAGGCATGTCAGAAGGTGTCTTGAATCTAATTAAAAGCCCTTCTTTTATGACTGTATTTTTGTGTGTGCTGCATGGTTCCCACTGATGTTAATAGGAGTTGTATGACTAAACGCCATGCTCAGTGTTAGAAACTTACTTCAAAGCATCTAATTTTAAACCCACAAGACTCCTTCCAGAACGCAGCTCTCTTGCCAAGGCTTTGAGAGTCCTTGAAGGCACAACTCAGTTTGATTTAGTTGTCAGAACATTCTGATATGCTCAAAGCTGCAGCTCTACTTCTGGTTGTGTTCTGATTATAATGATAATTATTTGCTTAAAACAGAGACTTGTAAGATGAGTTTGCATGATTCATAATGCCAAAATTAGTCACTTTTGCACCTGGGTCCTCCAAAAATTTGTGTGCCATTGCATCTGGTCAGAAGATTTTTCCTCTGTAGCAGAAATCAAGTTATACAAAAGTTTAGACAATAAGCTCTTTTGTCACTCAGTGCGGGAGACATTGGCGGGGGGTGGGGAATATCTAAAACATGAGCCTTTGGTAGTTTACCTTGCCCCGCTCCCCTTGGCTTGGCTGAAGTTTGAGCTGGGACTTCAGGAATCACTATAAAAGCTCTTGCTTCAAAAATATGTGAACTCAGGGTGTGTCTGAATATTTACATTCAGGGACAAATACGTTGAATCTTTCCCCACTTCCTTCTCCACCCTGAGCATCTAACTGCTTTGGAAACGTCTTTGCTGTTGTTTCCCATTAGATTACCACCCCCCCCCCACCTACCCATACTGTCATTTCTCCTATCAGGCCAACTAACTCAACAACAACAACAACAATGTAAGTGCTTTGCAGTGGTGTGTACTTACTAAACATTACTTGCCCTGAGCTTCAGGGTTGGCAAATTACAAATGAAAATAAAGTAATCTTTAACCAGAAGCAGTCAGTAACCTTCCATTCCTTTCTCTTTCTTTTGTCTCCTGTTCTTTCCTCTGTTGCACATCATTTTGTTCCAAGTACATAACTATAAAGATAAATCTCTCTTAAAGTGATCCTCATAGGTGCAACAGTCACCTAACTTATAAAGTCACTCCTTCTAAGTATTTCCCTAGGTTTGCAGTGTCTTGCACTACATTCCTAAATAGTTAGAAAAAAAACAAGTGTCTGAGGAGGTAGAATAATAAGGCCTCTGCTTACTTTGTGCAGAAAGGCTTCAAATGTGTGGAACATTAACAGTTCTGTTTATGAGGCTGTTGAGTTTTGTGCCTCCTGCCAGCTCCCTCCCTTTGAATCTCCTAAACAAAATCCTGGAAGAAAATCTATGGATTTATTTTGTTTTGACACTTAGACATAATTGGGTGTGTGCAAACTCTTAAGAAGTGCTTGCTGTTACTTGCTTATTCTTTCCATAGCCATCTGCCTGGTGCGCACCAGTTATCGCTTTCATTTCTTTTTTGGAATGAAGAATCCTTTTTTGTCACTCCATGGGTATGCAAAGTTGCTGCAATTTCTACAGGCAAACTGTATCTCTTTCATAAAATTATTTCCTCGCATAACGTTTAGCAGACATCAGCAAGTTCTCTTGCTTGGGAGGGACAAACAGTACTGATTTGTGAGGCTCAGAGTAAGCAGTTAAGCCCAACTGTCTCCAATGCTCTAAACCACTGTGTTTGTGCAACCACACATGCAGAAATGATTTTGCAGACTACTCTAACTGCAACTCTTTTTTTTTTTTAATTTATCAGATTTCAGACTTTGGATTAGCCAAGTGCAATGGCCTTTCACATTCACATGATCTCAGCATGGATGGGCTTTGTGGCACTATAGCATACCTGCCCCCAGAACGCATTAAAGAGAAGACCCGGTACTTTGATACTAAACATGATGTCTACAGGTTTGTACTTTTCTTCCTCAGTGCATCTATTTCTCTCCAGTATTTGCTAGTTAACTCTAGTAGAATTAAACTCTCGGGAAATTGATATTTTGTTTAACCATTTTGTTACAATTGAATATCAACAAAACAGGACACAAAGGCCAAGTCTTCAAAACTCGGGAGATACCTAAGGGAGTCATTGTAGCTTTAATGCAATTCACTTGTCTCATGCCAGCCAAAATTTTGATAATTTTTTTTTTAATTCCTTCTTGAACTGGCAAAACCAAGGTCATATCTGCATATATTTCTTGATTCTTTAGGAAGCAGTGTTGGAACCCAGTTGATCATTTTCCAGACCTAATTTTCTTTGGTGCCATCTGGGTCACGCTGATCTGGGTTACACCTCAATATGCCAAGCCACTTGAGAGGCATTAAAAGCAAGGTTCATGCACTGTGTAACGAGTGCTGTTTCAGTGATCACGTTTCAATAATGTCCAGCCCAAAGGTGACATTGTCAGCAGGCTGTGGAGACGCTGTATTCAACATCTCTTTCTGTGCTCCAAAAGTGAAGTTGATCAGCTGTAGATTCAGGACAAGGAATAGAAAGTAATTTTTGTACACAAGGCATAATTAGAACAGGGTTGTTTGGAAGTTGTTGGACTACAACTCCTATCATCCAAGCAGGCTAGGACTAATAGGACTTGTAGTCCAATAAATATCTGAATGACACCAGGATAGATCTTGGTCTGGTCTACAAAGACAATTCTTACGTTCTTTTGAGACCCATTCTCAATTCTAGCATACCTAATTTGTATTTGATGGCCTGGGATGATTAGCACTAGAAAGCCTAACAGTAATCAAGAAAGAGAGAGCGCATCCTATGATTTTTATAAAGTTAACATTAACTGATGTTTCTATTTGCAGCTTTTCCATTGTTATCTGGGGAGTTCTGACACAGAAAAAGCCCTTTTCAGGTATGCAAATAAATATTTGTTTAATGGATCATATTTTAGATGAGCACATCAAACGAAAGTCCTCCTCAAGTGTGTGTATGCCCACCCTGATGAGACTAGCCTTCAGAATGCCCAAGCTTCATCACTGCCAATTATACATCTTTTCTAGCTGCTTAACAACCACACCTTTCATGCAAAGCTTTGAGGAAACCTCAGCTATTATTTCTGCACTGAAAGCCAGACTGGAGACCATAGAGTGTCAGGCTTGATAAGGAACAAAAGGGTCATTGCATCTACCCTCATATGAATAGATGGGGACATGTTGCATCCACCAGTGTCCTCTTAACAGTTAGCCAAGCTGTTCAGATCTCAACATCATGTAAGTAAAGAGTAGGCAGTCTTTACTTTAACCTGAAACAATTATGTAGGGAGCCAGGCATCATACCTTCTGCCATTACCAGCTGATCCAGAGACCCTAATCTATGAGACCTTTGAGTCAGTTGAAATGCGTACCTCTCTCTTCTAGAAAGAGAACCCTAAGAGGAAAGAGGACTCTGATTAAGGTGATCTGTGATATTGGTCAGAGGCTGATTCAATTCTCAGAGTAATCTTGATTTGTGCCTTTTCCTTTGCAGAAGAGAATAATATTCTACATATTATGGTGAAAGTAGTGAATGGCCACCGCCCAGAGTTGCCAGCTGTCTCCAGATCCAGACCTCATGCGTGTAACAGCTTGATCAAACTGATGCAAAAGTGCTGGCAAGATGATCCTAGCAAAAGACCAACATTTCAAGGTAAACTTTTTACCGACTAGTTGGCAAACCCAGTGAGTCATTTCAGTGTTCGGGACTATACAAATCCCTGGTAGAGCTCCACCAAAATCTTGTAAAAATGATGAATGCAAAGTATACCCAACCCACTCTTTTGCGCAGGCAGCAGTATGGGGCACTTCCTCACTACAGGGAAGGGATTATACAAGAACTTGTCTGATCATGAAAGTGTTGATTTAGATGTCAAATGATCTGGCTAGCTCCCCAAGTTGCTGCCTAGGTTTAATGCTTTGATCCTTAAAATCCCAGGTAAAATGTTAGATGTCTGTTTTTTCTTACTGTGTATTCCGTAGCATGAAAGAGGTGTCATGAAGAGTAAGTTAAGGTCATGTTTGATTAGCCTTAAAAAGCAGGTTGAAGAATCAGCATAGTCTGAAATGTTACAGCAGATGATTGAATGTGGTTTTACTGCCATATTGTAGTTTGTGCGGCTTCCTTATGTTGCAGTTAACTTTGCGGATAAGAGCCTTCTGCAATTTCTGCTATAGGAAGAGCCTTGCTGGATTTGGTTCAGCATTCTGATTTCTTGAAGCTGTGTGTGTGTGTTTGCAAAAAAGCATGCTGGGTTGGGGGTGCAAATCCTTCACTTGGCACAGCAACTAATCTTCTCTCCTGGTGACGGATTTGAACATGGCTCCATAACCTGCTATGTTGTGCAATTGGCATACTCTATTCCATCTCAGTAGGTTTTGTGGTGACATAATACAGTCTTTACAGGGCAGAAATTCTCCGCAGAGTTAATTGCTTACACAGAGGAAGTAAAGCACATTGGGGAAATATGTTGCTGTAGCAGTGGGAGTTTGGATCAACACCTTGATTCAAAAATTATGATAATGTTATATAGAGTGGTTGACCAAACTTCTAAGTAGGAAGCAATATCCTCTAGCAGCTGGATAGTTTAGTTTCGCTTATCTAAACTGGCCAGTTGTTGAGAAAGAGATTGTGGCATATGGGAAATATACACGGTCGCTGTAAATGATGCACATATTATTTGACCCATCTTCTACTAGTATAAATCTAATCTTTGGCCTTTGTTTTTGTTTTTAAGAAATTACTTCCGAAACAGAAGAACTTTGTGAAAAGCCAGAGACTGAAAACAAGGAATTGATAGTTCAGGAGGACACCAAAGATACCCGGACTTACCCCAAGGTATGTACTGTATATGAAAAATAGAGATAATTTGATATTGGTGCCTTCTTCCCCTCCTGGGTAACATTTGACAAACACTTTTAATTTATAATTTCCTCCCTCTTCCACCCACCCCCCTTTGTTCCAGGAGCTGCCTGGACTATCCCAGCTAAAGCAAGGGTCTGAACCTTCCTCATCTAAGGATTACAGCCTTTCAGAGTTGTTGTCCCAACTTGACTCGGGAATTTCACAAACAGAAGAGCCTGAAGAACTCAGCCGTAGCGCTTCTGAATCTAGACTTGCTTCCAGTGACAAGAGGCTTTCAGGAGTGTCCTCAGTAGACTCTGCCTTTTCTTCACGTGGTTCCCTATCACTGTCATTTGAGAGAGAGAATTCCGAAAGTGGTAAGGGTTTTATAGTTTTAGCAAACAATAACTTGGAAAAACGAATTTTGGGTGTGTGTTGGGACTGGGTGGCTGTGGGAGTTAGTGGTTTCTCATGTCCTATATTGAAGGCAGCTTTGCCATGAGATGATCATTTGTGGGAGGATGTGGCACAGCCAGCACAAAGTCCGCTCCCTCATTTTTCCATGGCAATCAGCTGGCTATGTGTTTTAAGATGTTACATATCAATCATTGCTCCCCCTCATTTTCATGGACTTTCAAAGAAGTTGTGAGCAATGATCATGATGTCTCTTGGGGTGATACCCAACTAAGTCATATTCATAGTAAGCCCATTGAAATCAATAGACTTAGGCTTTCTGTTGTGAAGTTAGCCTCCACCTCAAAGGGGTTGCCTGATCTTTATCTTGCTTGTTTGATAGCAAACCAATTGCACACCACAATTCTGCCAAGACCTTAAAACTGGGCTGGGGAACCTTTAGCACTTCAGGTGTTGTTGGACTCCATCAGTACCAGCCAACATGGCCATTGCTTAGGGATGATGGGAGTTAGAGTCCAGCAACATCTGGAGGGTCAGAGTTTCTCCAGTTCTGCCTTAAAACATAGGCATTTGAGGGTCAAAGGCTTCTTTCCATGAAATGTGTCCTGAGTGTTCCTAGGGAGATGATAGTATGAAGAATGCATTGTGCAACCTGAGCTAATTAATCTGCATAGGGAACATAGGCAGCTGTCAGGCTAGTAGTCCATCTAGCCCAGTATTATCTACTCTGGCACTGGCTCTCCAGGGTCTTTAGCAGGGCCATTCCTATTACCTGGTCATCCTTTAATTGGAGATGCCAGCAATTGAGCATATGATCTTCTACCACTGAACATTGGTTATAATTTTCATAATTGTGGCAGGAATATTTTCAGCTACAGGAATATTGCCTGGATACCTGAGTTTATATTTGTGGCACATCAAATCATATTGCAGTCAGATGGTTTTTTTGGCTTTTTTAGAAAGTCAGGCAGCGTTGCAGTCAGATAGTTGAGGCACAACACAGAGATGAATGCTTGACCATGAGCTGGCCTTCATTGTTTTGAGGATTAGGAGCCTTATCTGCATACGAGGATTGGAGAGTGTGTTTTGTAAAGTCTATTTCATGACGCTGGACACCCATCTATGCGTGTTACTCTTTTTCCCTGGAAAAGCAATAGAACTTCACTAAATTGCCAGAAGCATAATAGTCCTAGCTGCTTGTGTGCATGTGCAGCAGACACCAAGTACATGGGATCCTAGCAAGCTGCATGAGTAATGTGCCCCAAAAGCTGATAACCCTCCTACCCACAGCATGAGTAGTACAATCCAGGTGGAAGGTGGACATGTTGGCACCTGCCCAGTGTGCAGAAAGATGGGAGCGGGGGAAGAGGAGGTGCTTCCTACACTTTGGCTTCATTGGTAGCATGAAGAATGGAGCTGCCATTTATTTATTTCTCTTGTGCCTTTAATGTATGGTTGTCATGGAAGTCTAATGTTGCTCTTTGCTTCTCCAGATCTTGGTTCCACGGACATCCAGAAAAGAAAGCTGGCCGAGGCGATTGCATCTGGAGACACGGGCAAACTGATGAAGATCCTCCAGCCGCAGGACGTTGACCTGGTTTTGGATGGGAACTATAGCCTCCTGCATTTGGCTGTTGAGTCGGGCCAAGAAGAGTGTGTCAAGTGGCTCCTCCTTTACAATGCCAACCCCAACCTGACCAACAAGAGAGGCTCCACACCCCTCCACATGGCCATAGAGAAGAAGAATAAAAGCATTGTGGAGCTGCTCCTGGCGAGGAAAATCAACGTGAACGCTAAGGATGAGGACCAGTGGACAGCACTTCACTTTGCTGCGCTGAACGGGGATGAACTGAGCACCAGGCTTCTTCTGGAGAAGAACGCCTCGCTGAACGAAGTAGACTTTGAAGGAAGAGCTCCCATCCATGTGGCCTGCCAGTATGGCCAAGAGAACATTGTGCGCATCTTCCTGAGAAGAGGGGTTAATGCAGATATCAAAGGGAAGGAAGGCTGGGTGCCTTTGCATTATGCAGCCTGGCAAGGTCACCTGTCCATCGTGAAGCTTCTTGCCAAGCAGTCCGGGGTGAATGTGAATGCACAGACAGTGGATGGGAGAACCCCTTTGCACCTGGCAGCCCAGAGAGGGCATTACAGAGTAGCTCGTACACTTGTGGACCTGAAGTCGGATGTCAACATCAGAAACGCCTCGCTCCACACCGCTCTCCATGTTGCTGCTGAAACCGGACACACGGGCACTTCGAGGATGCTCCTCAACCGGGGCGCAGACGTAGAAGCGATGACGGCCGAAGGCTGCACTGCACTCCACCTGGCAGCCTGCAGGGGCCACTTATCGACCACCAAGTTGCTGGTTGAAGAAGGTGCCAATGTCCTGGCCAAGGGGCCTTCCAAGAGGACGGCACTGCACGTTGCTGCTGAAAATGGACATTGGGAAGTAGTAGAGGAGCTTGTCAGCCCAGAGAATGTAAATGACCCCGATGAGGAAGGCTTCACGGCTCTACATCTGGCAGCGAAAGGCGGACATCCACGCACCCTCGAGGTTCTGTTAAAGCATGGCGCCCTCACATTTCAGACCCCTCTGCAGACGACTAAACAAAATGGATACAGTGCTGTTACTATGCTACTCGGTGAGAGCTAAGTGAACAGACTGCTTGTTTATGTCTTTTGACTTTCCATGGAGACTCTGGGAGCCTGATGATCAGGGTTTTCCCTCTGACTGCTCCTGTGTCATGTGTATGAGTCTGCTTAAATTTGCAGTTGAGTCTGGGTTCTATCCTGGCAGAAGCAGCATTGTTGATGTAGCAATGCATTCTAATGAACTGAGGGAGCGTGGGAGCAGGAGCCATGAAATCCTGAGCATAGAGCCTGACACTTTCCTGTGATGTGCTGTTGAGCAAGCCATATGTAAAGACTCTATGTTCTTTCCCTGGGGCTTCAGCAGTGCGGGGAGTTGATCTGCCCTGAAGATGGTATGAGGAGCAATATGCATTGCATTGCTTTAAGCAGACACTTGTTGCGTTCCGGACAGAGTCAGTATCTTAATATTTCAATCTTTCTCTTGTTTTTACATTCAGACAAATGATGGGGAAGGTGTCTTCAAACATCATGCTAGAATGTTTTTGAAATTGATTTTCCCACCCCCCACCCCATTGCGTACAAAAAGTACTCTAGCAATCAAAATCTGTTTCACAGTGCGCAAGAGTTTGTTGAAAAAGAATGTAAGAAGTGCCTATTTCAATGCCACACATTTCTGTGTCCTCAAATTGTTGAGCTTTCCTTTTACCCTAGTCAGCAAGTCTTTGCAATTAGAACTGTTAGCATTCAAAAGTTAACTGAAGGCAGTATTGCATAGAAATTGGTGATGTAGAATACACTGGTACGTGCGCGTGCGCACACACACACACACACACACACACACACACAGAGTGGGCCCACAACTTAGCGATTGCAAACTTAAAATGGGCTGGAAGTGGAGGGGCAAATAAATAAATGAAGAGTGGGGGAAGTGCACTATTCCCCACTCTCCAGTTATTTATTTCCACCCCCACTTGTGCACCCAGTGGGTTTTCCTGCCAGGGAAAGAGCTCCCAGGGCCCTCCTGAAACCTTCCAAGAACCCAGTTAGCAGCCCTGTGCCCCACAGGGCAGGAGGGGCATTCATGGGGTTCCTGACTTTACACGAGGCTGCCTTTGCATGTGGACCCCCGGAACCAAACCCTTGTGTAGGTGGCGGGCCCACTGTAGAGGCACACACAAGGTGTGTTCAAATTTCTTAAAATGATTTTGAATGGTTGTAGTTTTTAAATGGTGTAGATTATGAACCACGTGTACAGTACTGCCTTGCCTTCTGAATTTTGCTGTGTTCGGTAGCCTAATTTAAAGATATACTGTGTATATATAGTATTTCAGTTCGTTGTGCCTCTTTTTCTACTGCAGAAAGTTGTGCCTCTTCAGACATGGGTATGTTTTAATACGCCTTTTGTAATGTTCATAATTTTTTCAAGTGTTCAAATAAAGTCTGGTTCATCCATTTAAAAAAAGCTGTGGTTTGCCTTTAAAATGGTGTTTGAGATAAACTGAATTGTGGATGTACTGTGTTCAAAGGGCAAAAGCATTTCACAATCTTGATCTTGTTTCTCCTCTCTCCCTCTCTCTGTGACACACACACCCCACTGCCACTACCACTACCTATATTGCACCCAATCTGCATTTTAGCAGGAAGCACAGCTGTGGGCCAGGGCTTTTCAATGAACCTTGGTCCTCAATGGAACACAATCTCTCAGCTTTGTTTTTAAAAACAGTTCATTGCTTGCTTTAGGTTTTCTTTAATAGCAGCTTAGAAATACTATAAATGCCACTTCTGCTAAAACACATTTTATTTCCCATCAATAAGGCAGTTGGCAGGCAATAAATTTGTTTGCATTTCTTACTGACTAATCAAGAACCCGGGCTGAAGATGGCAGCTGACTACGCTGAGCCTGCTCATTGTGAATTTTGACTTTCAAACGCTCTCTCAAATGAAAAGGGTATTTGGTAATTCCAAAAATAAAATTACAGGTTGCCTTTATCTTTTCCCTGCTGTAGCTTTCTGTTCGTTTAAAATGTAAATCAGAGTTTAAGCAGTGGTGCCACACTGGTAATAGTGGAGTATTTAATTTCCTATTAATATATATATCTAGGCAGTCTTTCACAATATCAGGCACATGCTCCACATAGCTAAGCATTTCCATACAATAATCGTGTAACATCAGCAAGCATTTTCTAATTTCCCAGCTCTCCCTTGAGTGCTGCTGCCGACTGCCTTAGGGAATATATCAGAACAATGTGAAAAGCTCCGCAGAAGAGCTACTGGCACCCAGACCTAGTTTGTGTCTCTTCTTTAATTCCTAAGACAGGTGAAATTCCTCAGTGCTCTGCCTTGTCCATCTGGTTGGTGCGATGTCACCAGCTGCCTAAACAGGTTTTATGAGGGTGTTGCTAGTTAAATTTGTGCCAGCGTGTCTTCATGTGAAATAAACTGGCAAACATTGATATTAAAAGTCCAATGACTAACTGGGAGAGAAAGATCCAGTGTGGAACCATCTTGTGGAGTGTTCTTCCTTATCAGTTGGATGGTGGGAATGGCTTGTGCTCAGATTGATATCAAATGCAGATATAATACAAAAGAATAAGGGCAGGTGCAGGCAGAAGGTTGATCAGGGTCTACAGTTAGATCATTGGGCCATTTGGAGTAGGAGTGGCTAAGTTTTTGGATTCCTAGTCCTTTACAAAAAACAATGAAAAGCTCCTCTCCACACTTATCAGGCTACTGATATGAAGAAGGCCTAGGATAAAACCAGGAATTGGTTTTCACGTGAAAATTCTGGTTCTGAAAACAAGTTCCTGGGCTATGCATGCACTTAGAGATGCCTTGTTCCCCATGCCCCTGTTTTGCTCCTGGCTCTAGGTGATGGACCTTGGGCATTCTAGGAAACAAAAATACAATTGTACAAGCTTTGATGCCTGCCCACTTCTGGTTTAGACCGATTATATAATAGTACGCCAAAGATAAATAGAAAAGAGTTGCCCATAGCAAAAGCACTTGTGATTGTTGCAAGTATGCTGTGTGCCAAGGAAGGAATAATTACGGGAGGATGAATGGATATATGCTTCATAAAGTACTTTGGAAGAGAACGCTGAATTTTGTTAGGGAGTTGGGTGTTCACGGAAGTGATGGGCCAGTTTAAAGAGAACAGCTTTCCGTCTGGCCTTCCCTGGATGGGAGAAGACAGTCTTAGAAACACCCAGGTCCCCAGCAAGCAGCCCCCATTCAGCGCAGGTTGTCTCTTTGCTCTCCCCTGTTGTGGGGGGAAACCTGGAGCTCCACAGACCACACAATAAGGGTATCCTGGTTTTTAAAACAAGCCTGCGTGTATCTTGTTTTTCCGGTAAGCCTGTCCTGCAAAAAAGTCAGGATTGTGTAACTGAGGAGTTATGAATGAAAGGGCTGAGACTTGCCTGCAGGGTTGTTAGCAATAAAACAGCATTCTTTCCTGTTGCCACAGAGAATCCTGAGCATGTTCAAATGGCAGGTCTGTTCATGCATTGTGGGGCCTGTAGGGACAAAGCTTAAGATCCGTCCATTAGCACGGCATTTTAATAAAGCTGTCAGTTGAGAAGAGTGTTGCGAAGGCTAATAATATACCAAGGACCCACTTTTTACCTTAGGGCAAGTGTCCTCTTGCAGAAGGTGCAGGGTCGTGGGAACACACCTTTTCCTGGGAGCTGGTGATCAGCTTGGGACCCCTTTCCCCTTACTTTGTGCTTGGCCAGGCAGTTAACGCTTCCTGCTACAGATCTGAGTCTACACTGGGTTTCTCAGAATGTTCATACGTCCTAGGTACTCACATGATTACCATCACGTGAGAAGGCAGGCAGGCTCGTGCTTGCTGCCCCTGCCCCATCATGTTCCTCCTTGGCTCCATTATCCCTGGGTGGCCTTGAGATGATGTTGGACTCCCAGCTCTTATCAGCCAATGTTCAGGGATGATGGGAGCTGTAGCCTAACAACACTGAGGATGGGGCTGCTGGTTCCCCCATCCCTGAATAAAAGATATCCCAAAAGGGATGTAGGAGAGCTCTGTTTTATTCATCTCAAAAGCCAGACAATTTAAATTTGGCTGTGCCTGCCCTCCAGAGTCATCCATTAAGACCCCTAATATTATAGAGGGGAAGGAGCCTTCCTGAACTTAGGACAATGCATTTTTACAAAGTTTAGTCTTAACCTGAGATATATGAGAGTCCATATCCAAGCCACACCCAGTTGGATCCTAGTTTCAAACAGGAATCAGAAAAACTTGTGGATATGTTTCTTGTTCATGGCTCACCACCAGAACATGTTTCTTGGTCCAAATTCGTCTCTTAAAATATCAACCTGCTAAGCTAGAATGTTTCATTCTGGTAAACCTAAATAAAAAGTTAATGAGATCCCTGGATTTTACATTCCAAAAATGTTTTTAGCCTAAAAAATGAAGCTTTCTTTAAAAAACAAGAATTGGCAAGCTGTTAATTATTTTTTAAAAACTGTTCTCTAGGACAAACGTATAGCTAGTATGCCAAGCCTGAGCTTATTAAAGGAGTTGGAGAACCAACAAAGAGTCCTATAAACTGAACAAATATAGTATGGAATAAATTTCTATGGACTAGAGTTCAAGCCTATGTCTCAATAAATGTGCTAGCATTTAAGGTGCTACAGCATTAATTGCTTTTGTTGTGATATACTAGAAGTGATGCAAGCTTAGGATCTCCCATGTTTTTATTTGGAGGAAGAAAAGTTACAGAAGATGAGAGGGAAATTGGATCAGGATTGCAGCATGGATGGGGGGGTAACCTCCTTACAATTTTCATGAAGTTTGCTCCATGGAGAAAACCTACAGGTAGTCATGGGGCAAAAATAGTTTTGGGAGATTACTTTTAATGGGAGAAATAGGGGTGGGGAGGTTAACATCTCCCCAGTTCTATAGTCCCACTGTTGCACTAAAGTATAAAATAGTACAAGAAGTTTGGCCATAAGTCAGTTTTAAAGCACAAAAATACTGCTCCTCTGTTTCATGGGACTCTTATAAAAACCTATACACTCTTGCCTATTGATTATAGCCAATCTTCAGTTTGACATTTCCAACAATTTTTGGAGGGGATTTTGGGTACTTAAAGGATCTAACTTTCATTATTGGACTGCTGTCCAGTGGGTTGCATGAGAATAAAAAGCTGTGATTAGAAAAGAGCTCATAGTTAAATTACTGCTAAGAGTTTAGTTAATAGTCAGTAATGGAAGATATAATGATGGCTGCCATCACTGCTCAGCTGAACGTAAAGCAGTTAAAAATTCTGAAATAAAATGCCCTAACAACATAAAACTTGGACAGCTTTAAAAGCGGATCAGATAAATTCATGGAGGACAAATCTAATGGCGTCTAATCAGTGCTCCCCCCCAGAGAAATACTGGTACTCATCATGAAGTTGTTACAGTAATTGCCACACTTTTTAACAAGAAAAAGACGTGCCAGCACCACATACCCTCAAGTACCCTTTGAGAAACAAAACACTGCTTCTAATCACAATGGTTTTATGCCTATGAGTATCAGTTTCTGGCTATCAGAGTTGGGAAGGTGCTGTTGTACTCATGCCCTGCTTGTACTTCACTGTGGGAAAGTAGGACAGTGGTACCTCGGGTTAAGAACTTAATTCGTTCTGGAGGTCCGTTCTTAACCTGAAACTGTTCTTAACCTGAGGTACCACTTTAGCCAATGGGGCCTCCTGCTGCCGCTGCTGCGTGATTTCGTTCTCATCCTGAAGCAAAGTTCTTAACCCGAGGTACTATTTCTGGGTTAGCGGAGTCTGTAACCTGAAGCGTCTGTAACCCGAGGTACCACTGTACTCCAGACTAGATAGGCATCCAGCAGAGTTCTTTTTACATTCTCACAAGCAGGAACTATGTATGTAGCCTTGAGCGCTTTGGAGAAAAAGGTGGGACGTTCTTTTTGTTTTTCAAAAAAATTATTTAGTTTTTCAGTTTGAAGTTTTACAATCAATTATCCAACAACCAACATCAAAACAAGATTCCAAAGAATCTCCTGAACTTCCCTCCTCCCCTTTGTGGGTCCTTTTGTAAACCATTTCCTCCTGCATCTTTTACAATAATCCAAATCTTTTACATCTCCATTATATCCAAAACCACAAGTGTGAAAAAGGTGGGACTTTCAATGTAATAAATAAATAATATGTACAGCTCATTGTTTTAGATTTCCAATTAGTTAACTTCAGGCTGACCCAGAAAACAATGAAAAGAGATCTTATGAAGCAGATACTGCAATCCTGTTCGTGTTTTGATATTAGGATCTCCGCATACATGGAGGGCAGTGATCTGTGTAGCCCCATTTTTCAGAGGACAAAGCAACCAGTAGTAACTACTACATTGCTCTGGGTATATGAAGTGTCCTCATTCGTCTATCAACTGTCCTAGCTTTGTGGACTTAAGCTTTAATGTAACTATGCAGAACTG